CTACAATTCGCCACATGAGGAAGAGTTTAGGCCTCAGCAGACACAACCCAAATTGCCAGAGCTGCTGGTGGCAAGAGCCGTGGAGATGACACCAGTGATTTTCATTCTCAATTCTAAGACAGAATGTGTGAAGGGAACAGAAATATCACAATATCAGTGGAGAGTGTTCGTGGATTTTCCTGCCTGAGAGACAAAACCCCAACCCTGTTTGTATCCCCTTCCCTAACGTGGCTCTCTGTCCACATGGGATTAAATGGCACCAACTCCAAATATTATCACAGCACTAGTTATGAAGCAACCTCACAGTCAGGATTTCAGACTCCCCTCAAGGGTGCTAAGTACCTCACAATACATACAAGATGGAAAAGGTTCTGCTGCAAGGCTGTCACTGGGCTCACACACCGCAAACACACTGGGAGGGAGGAGGATGAACAAGGTTAACTGGGATATACAAAAGGTATGGAAAGTCTCCAGGACCTGAATGCACTGGACCATGACTCAAGTGCAAGACTATTGATGGTTTCTTCTCCTTTCACAGTTTCTTTGAGGAACTCATACTCAGAAATACCCAACACAATGAAAATAGCTGAAAATATTAACTTCACGTTTGCTCAGTGGAGAAGTTTTCAGAGGAAACATTCGATTACCATAATTTTCCTATACTAAATGTTATCCAACTTATTTCAAGTGGAAACAACTAAGAAGGAATCAACTAAAGGGAATCAAAACACCTATTACACAGGAGTTACAGAGTTCCTTACCTGGGGCAGGGAGTTTTCCATGGTTTGCTTTCAGCAGCTGAAGCTCTTCTGCTTGACTCACTAGTGAAGAAATAAATCCCAAATGAGTAAGTGTTGCCCCAGAGATTTCCAAGAAAATAATAACCTCTGCTGCCTTCTTCACTTCCAAAGTGTTGGGATTTTTCTTTAAGGAAAATAATCCCTTTACCTATGTAATTGTGCTCAAAAAAGTTCACCAAAAATGTCAAAAATCCAGCTCATTTTAACAAGTTGTGCTTAAAAGCCTCAGAGCGCATTTTATTCTTTTTTCTTTTGTTTTTTTTTTCTTCCAGTGCTGACATGGCGCTTTGTTCCTAGTTTAAAGAGGGGGGAGGAGGGGGGGGAGGAAGATGCTTCTTTCCCAAGGAGCTGAGAGACTGGTCAGAAGAGTCAGCCTGAGATCTCCTCTGGGCTGTAGGACTGTCCTGTCCAGTAATGCAGACACACACTGTTTCCAGATAACTTGTTTAAGAGAGGATCTGGCATTACACTGGGAATGCTACAGTGTATACACATGCAAAAGGCAAAGGGAACGAGCTTTGGAATACAAGTCAGGAAAGAAATGGTAATTTACACCACAGCAGCTGCTGGAATTGTGTGGAGCATAAATCCCACTGCTTTGGGAAGAAAAAGCCTCTGTCACTTACGGCTTTACTGTTCACCTGCTTCCAACTGCAAACAAAGCAGTCCCAGGCACTCCAGGATTTCTTCCCTACAGCTAGCTCCAGTGTTTTCACCTGAACACAGCACCCAGACAGGCTGTAGAATAATATATATTGGCCAAACATCACATTTGCTGCAGGTTAAGAAACCATTTTACCACCTTTGCCTGTTTGTCAAGACACTGGACACAGGGACTAGGTGAATCCACATGTTACTCATTCCCTGCAACTAGAGCATGAGGTTGGTATGAAAAGCCTGCAAGAACACTGTTAAATATGCAAAGCTTTGAGCAGCAGCAGGGAAACAGCCTTAGACACAAACCTGTAGCACAAAGGTGTGTGGACAGCTGAAAGGTGTTGCTGCTGTAAAAACAAAGTGCCCGAGCCACAAGGCCCTTGGGTGCCACTTTTTCTCCCCTGTAATTACCCACAATGCCATTTTTTCATTAGAATATTTCCCTCCTCTCCCAGCTGCAGAAGCAGTTGGGAAGAGCTGGATGGATGCACGTCAGAGACCCTATGGATAAAGGGTTTCCTAAAAATGGACACATCTAAGTGGAAAACTTCGTGGGCTCCTTTGGAGAAGCATTACAGGTGTGCCACCTGTGAAATGCCTTTATCTCAACAGCAGAAGCATATGGTATGTCCATCATTTACAGACACATGAATAGCCACTTTTCAAGCTATATTCAGCCTAATCCTCCTACCAGGCAAACAAACAAACCAACTGCCTGGCGAGGAGAGAAGAAAAGCAGAGCACACAGAGTGCAAACGCTTAGCCTAATCACTAGCTAAGTACCCACTAAGTATCTAACTATTTGCATGAGAAAAGGTGTTGCTCTTGCCTGGTGTCCCTCCCAGAGTGCCTGGGAGAGGGACATGGGGCTGCCAGTCTTTTATGGCACAAGGACATTTGTGCTGCCTCAAAGTCCTGCGGTGTAACACAGAGGAAGCATTTGGAGAGATCCTTGTTAAACGGTTGGAAAGGGGATAAAGAGGTCGGAAATTCTCCTTACACAGCTCTTGGGTTTTCTTCACTTCAGCCCTGAGGTCACAAGACGAGTTGAAGACGCCGATGATGTTTTTAAGCTCTCTACTGCCCTCCAAAGCCTGGGAAACGGGAATTAAAGACACTAGTAAATTGCATTCCCAAATTAGCTACATAGATGGCTACAACTTAGCAAAAACATGGGAAAGAACTTTTGGAAACGGTTCAGAAGCTCTAAATGATGCACGAACGAGCCAGAAGGACTCAGAGGTCCAGGGTGTAAGAACACAGGTTGCCTTGGAAAGTGGGATTCAGGCTCTTCTGGAAGTGTTGCTTAAAAATCTGCTGTTATTTACTCTCCAATCCTAAACCTTCAGCTGTTTAAACAGATTGACACTCGCCCAGAAAGCAATCCCGGCCCAGGTACAAGCCGGAATGTGTCAGAAAATGGAAACTCAAAAGCATTTCAGCTTCTATCAGACACCCTCAGCACAGACCTAAAAACATCCCTACCAAAGCCACCGAAAGGAGCTTTCAATAGCCTTTGCTAAATGCTCATTCCAATTAAAACGTTTTGCATTAGTATCGGTCGTTTTTTGGTAAATAAAACATTGTCAGGCCGCATAAAATAAATCAATGCAGTGCTCTGAGTGCACTGAGTTGCTGCTCAGCTATTGACATCAGCAGGGAACCTTGCGCTGAACTTATTCAGGATGCAAAATGTGACTTGAACAACAGCGATTTGCATTTCAGCATGTGTTAGACCAGCAAGTGATGATACATTAACGGCAAATCACACAGTACCATCAGTTCAACACAAAGAGATGCTCAGTCGTCAAAGAGACAAAAGTCTAGGTAACAACAACTCATACTTTAAGTTATTTATAACAGTTGAGAACTACTCCATGTGGTTTTATTCACGTGACATGAATTAATAATGGTGCACTTGGAAAAGCAGCTCCTCTTGCTGAAATGTAAACAATCTACCAAGTTTTGAGGGGTTTTTTGGGTTTTCTGCATTTCCAAGTCAAACCTAAGTGGTTTCAAGCATTTTATTTGCTTCCCCATCCCTTCAAACTCACACAGTTGTATATAAGATTTTAACATCCACTTCAGATCCTGTATGAAAAGGAGACTCATAAAAGACCTCAGTGTGAACCAAACCTTTAGGCTTGTCAGATTAGCTCTTATTTTCAGAATCCTATCCAAAGAACTTCTCACTTGGGATTGCAGTTCCAGGAACCTGCATGGAAAAAATAAACCAATGATCAATTAGCCACATCAGCACCTGCTGAAAATCCACATTTGTAGTGTGTCCAGAGTCTGCCCACATCGAATCAGGAGGGATCTAGCTCAGGTGTGGACACACAGGCTGTGCAACCTGTGCCATGTAACACCAAACACAACTTGGTTGGGTTAGGATTTCTGTGCCAGCTGCGACTAATAGCCTGACTTTAAGGATAAGAACTCCGGCTCAGCAATATCACAGGATTTTCTGCACTGAATATGCACTGAAGAAGTTCCTGCCATGACTGTTTGGCCTGTTTTCTCTTTGAGCCATTTAAACATGCAAATCAAACAATCATTAAGTATTTCCTCCCACAGAAGGAAGAATATAAGTATAAACCCTTAAATCTGGAGACAGTGTGAGAACAACTGACCTGTCATGTTTCAGCATGGCAAGAAAGGGAAGAAAATGCTACTATCAGTGTGTCCTACAATGTATTTTCCACCCGGAAAGCCAAAGTGTATGGAAGTTGCCATCAGTACTAAGCGTTGGTGTTGGTTTGTAAGTGTTTTTCCTGGCTAATCTGATGCAAATCTTTTAAAAACACACTGAATTATTGACTGCATCATTTACATGTCAATGAACACTGTGATTGCTCCAACTGTCCTGTAACTCAGGGCTACTGTCGCTAAGAAATGAGTCTGTGTGTGCTGACAAGGGATTTACTGAACCACGGGGAATTCCCAAATTAATCACTTTACACCTTTCCACTGGTACAGTTGGCAGGTTTTATTTTTCACTATTTAATATGTCATCCAAAGAATTTTGCCAAGCTCCATCACTTAGAGATAACATCCTGCACCAAAGGAATTTCAAGGTCAAAGTGGGGGAAACATCTATTCCGAGGAAAAAGCCCCAACAAACAAATTGTGCAACAATAAAAGGAAGAAACAGAACTTCCAACGTAGTATTTAAGTGAATAAATGTCACTATTGTTATTATTACAGCTTAGAAGAGAAGAATTGGAAGAGACTTTGCATCAATCTGTGCCTATAACCACTCAGTGCCTTTGGAGATCTAATCCTGTGGAATTAGAAGTGTTACAAATAATCACTATTGGTTGAATTCTGGAGGAAATATTAAGCTTTTCTAAGTGAAAATCACAGTATTTCACCCACAGCAAACTTAGTACATGTAATCCACTCACACATCCTGCTCAGCTGGAGGCTGCCCTCTCCTGGATAATCCACGGCTGGAACTGCTCTGCTCACTCCCATCTCCTAGGAGGGTCACAAGGGAAAATAAGAGATAAAAATAAGATATTAAGTAATCGAAACACATGGAAATGGTGTTGGTATGAACCTTGATTGGATCGTCTTTTAGGAAGAGGAAAAAACCCCCAAAACTCTCTTGGAAAGCAGGACAGATCTCCCTGGAATGAACCAGATCCCCTTGGAATGAGCCACACTAAAGTCACTCTCATTCACACTTTTGCCTTGTGACCTCTCATCAATTCCATTACATTTCTGTTCCTGGAAACTTTGGAGTTATAGTATTAATCCCTGGAAGTTATGGACAGTATTATTCTCTACAGTATAATAGCATACAGTATAATATAGTGTAATTCTGATGGATAATTCCTGTGTTCTTTTCATCCTATTAACTGCCTAAACACAGCATATTAGCTTGGAGCATTATCCTGGAAATGCTGGAATGGCTGAACAACGAAACCCTCATTTTCTTTTAATATAAACTGCCTGAACCCCAACTCCACCTTGTAAACAGCTACAGAGATGCTTCAAATCACTTCCAGAGCCTCCAACATGCTATACTGACAATGTAACACTCCAGCTCGGAACATGACAGAGGGAACAGGATAAATCCTGCTGCCAATTGTGATATATGGTCCCCTGATTCATGTCAATATGAAGCAGTGTTGGAATCTAGATGAATAGCTACCTTAATACTGTTTTGTTAAGCCTTATATTGTTTGTGATGCCGTTTGTTTGGAGTTGGAAGCTGCTATGACACATAGAAGCTGGGAAGGCTTGCAGAAGGGCAAAAGCTCGCTTGATCTTGATTTTCAGTACGAATACAGACCGTGAAAGCGGGGCCTCACGATCCTTCTGGCTTCTTGGGTTTTAAGCAGGAGGTGTCAGAAAAGTTACCGCAGGGATAACTGGCTTGTGGCGGCCAAGCGTTCATGCCGACGTCGCTTTTTGATCCTTCGATGTCGGCTCTTCCTATCATTGTGAAGCAGAATTCACCAAGCGTTGGATTGTTCACCCAATAATACGGAACGTGAGCTGGGATTAGACCGTCGTAAGACAGGTTAGTTTTACCCTACTGATGATGACTAGAAGCTGGGAAGGCCCTAGGAGGGCAGAGCTGGGCAGTGCCCCGCGGGCAGCTGTGTGCCAATGAACCTGAACTTTTTAATACATATTCATGACTGTCCTGAG